ACCTTTTTGATACATGGGTTATTTAGAAGTATGTGGTTAAATTTCCAAATACTTGGGAACTTTCTAGTAGCTTTTTCTGTTATTGATTTCTGGGCAATTCTGTTATAAATAGAAAACACATCTGTATGCCTTACAGTGTACAGTTCAGGATACGTTCTATCTTAATGAGTGTTCCATGTGCACTTTTAAAAACGTATTCTGCTTTTGGTAAGTGTGGTAAAAATGTCAACGAGGCTAAACAGATGGAGAGTGCTTTCAGGTCTGAGATGAAAGAGGAGCAGGGCAGTCTCCAAGTCTAAGTGTGAACTCGAGAAGCAAGTACTTTAAAGACATAAGGTCAGCTTACCATTCTGAATTTGAGCCACTTTTTTAGAGATCTCTCCAATAATCTGTGCAATAAAAAAGGTAAATAAATTATGACTTTTTAATATTCCTAAAAGCATATAGAAATGTAATTCCAAATTAGTAGCTAAAAATAGTTAGAATTTTGGTTTAAAAATCATTTAGATAAGAAAATTAAATCAGAGACATTATTTCTACTAAGATCGGATTTGCCCAGAACATACCTGCCGCCTCCATTTTTCAGCTTTGGGCAACTCTGCACACTCCGAGGCAAGAAAGGGCCGTCGTTCCTAGGGAGAAGCACGACACACGTGTTGCCACTGCACTGGCAAACGAGCTTTCTGCAGCACTCACACCTGGGTCAGACCTGTCCACACACAGGTCAAGTCTCAGTGCCAGATGGTTCTTACCAAGCCTAAATCTCAAGCTACGATTCCGCTTTAGGAAAAGAAGTCACTGTTCAGAGGTGTCTTTATAACATTCTCTGTATTTTTGTTTAAAACGTTTCATAATTAAAGATATTTGAGATACAACATAAATAGGTGTGTGTATAAATTTAAAAGGCAGGCAGAATGTCATGTATCATCCCTAGCCTGGCTAAGTCTCCATGAGTTATCTACTACTCTCAGCTTAGAGCTGCTCCCCACATCAGACTCCACTGACGAACAGCCAGTGTAAGACAAAGCGGGGGTAACAGAGGACTCAATCTTTATGTTCTGGCGATGAAAGACGCAACAGCCAGACATCACAGTGCCCCAGCCATAGGGAAGGACTCCTGGAACTCAAGTGTGCAGAGCGCCAGCAAGCACAAGCAGCAGTCAGTGCTGGAGTTTGAAGTCTCCTCAGGAGGGGGTGCTATTGAACTCGTTTTTGACACTTTACGATTCATGAGGAAGTTATGCACCAACCTTCACTTTTCCTTCTTCCAGCTGAGCTTGGCGAAATCTCGCCAAGGCCGTCCTACCAGGGATAGAGAAGATGCCATTAGATTCTGCTCACAGATGTCTCATCCCCTAGGGACAACTCATGACCATATTTAAAGTCATTCAGATGTACACCGTGACAACGGGTGGTTAAGGACTTGGTGTTCAAAGAAGGAGGGTTTACGAGGCCATTGGTGTCCTTAGACACCCAAGTTCCTATTCCACTTACAGTGTGTGTAAGCACGGTGGACAACTCTACTCATCAGACCACAAAATATCCTACAGACTGGACAACACTAATAAGAAAAACAAACGGGCAAATGCGGGAATGCTATTTTAATACATACAGAACAGAAACAGCTTCTCAAAGGGGTCATACACCAAAAAATCTAATATTGAAAAACACTCCCTGGTACATATTATGTTCCTATAAAATGTACTTCAAAAAAATTTTTTTCTACTTCCAAAAGCCAGTTGATACTTACATGGCCTTTTCTGCATTTCGAGCCTAGGAGAGAGGAATAAAAAATGTCACTGTTTAAAGTCTCAGGTCCTTCCCCACCCCAGTTTACTTTTCAGTGAAAAGCTTTCCAAACACACACTCACAAACAGAATGCTTGAACCAGTCTAGAAACAACATGTTAGGGTCAAGTCGATGACCTTATTACACTCTTACAACGTTTACTCCCTCGCAGTCACTCCTCCCCTTGTGGACCACAAGTCCTATTCATCTTTCATAACTGAACCGAGTCACCCCCCAGAAAGTCCTTTCCTGACCCCTTACTTGTTGGGGAGGGGCCCTTCACTGCGCTCATACTAACCATGGTCCTTGCCACCCAGTTGGACAACTGTCTCTTCCCCACCAGCAGAATTTGGCTGGGGGTGGGGGGTCGGGGGACTTCAAGGATGATTTGTATATACGTAGTGCCACACTAGTGACACCACCGTCAGAGAGAACATTCTTTGAGCCGTAAGCAGGAAGAGGACTTGCTGTGTTGGGAATGTGCATTTTTATTCCCTGCTCTGCTACATCCCTGAGAAGTGGTGTCTTAAAGCTTCAGTGTTCCAATCTTTACACCAGGGATTCTGTTTCTTAGCCCATAGGGACGTCACAAGGATTTAATGAGACTACATGAAACTATCAGCCATACAGTTGACAGATATTCAGCAAAATAAGTACAAAATGTAAAACCCCTACCTGATTCAAAGTAAACAAGATGATTTCTTTTTTAAGTGAGTGCAATTTAAATCTCCTTCCCTACCCTCCTTTTCAACTTGGCAAATACTTAGTGGATAAAACCACATTACTCTTGTGGAGTAAATCAGAGAGGCTCTCCCACGGAAGCTGTCACCTTCAAGGCTAAAGTTGTGGCTTCCCTCTTTTGAAGACTAATTTTTTTTTTTTTGAAGACTAATTTTATCAACTTGGCTAGACTATTATCCCTAGTGATTTGGCCAAACATGATACTAGTAGTTCTTCCATAAGGTAATGTAATCAAGCAGGAGAAAAGAAAGAAAGAATCAGGAGTTTCCTTGGGGTGTGTTCTCTCTCTAGATTTCCAATAGTTTGGCAGTAAAATTCTATCTGCACCCTGCTCTTTCTGTTGCCTACCTACAGATGTTGTATTGCTAGTCCCTGACAATCCTATCAGTCAATCCCTTGAAGTAAAGCTCTAGCTATCTACCGATCTGAAGAAAGAAAGAGGTGATAGTCCAGAAGTAAAATCCTCACTCTCCATTCAAGAGGCTCTGCTTAAATTTTCCTTGGGGGTATGATCCTCTAAAGACAAACCACACTTCCATGAAAGCCATCTCTCAATACGAGCTATTCGGGACACTTGAAAATCAACAACAAAAACCACACGTGACCATTTGGAATCTAACAACCACGACATCTGTCTGAAGTGGCAGAGATCACCAAAACCAGGTGCATCAGAGACTATGGAACAGAGACGCCGAGGGCCAGCACCAAGACGGTGGGATATCTTCCCATCTGTTAGGACACTGTGGATCTGTGGGCCAGACCGGCAGGCAGGCTTGCATTCCGGCCCATGGAGGCAAAGGCAAAGGGACCCCGTGGCTGAGACTGAGGACTGGTGAGAGACTTGGCTGCTGGCTTAGGAGAGGCATTGCTATGGACCAATGGCTACATCCTTATGGCTTGCTGATCCTGACTTGTGGGAACCTAATTAACTTCCTTAATGTGCTCCCCTATTCCTGAGTATTCCCCGAGTTCTGTGTGGCCATTGCAACAAATTATCTACCCCAGCACCTCCATACACACAAAGGGGTTTCAAAAAGATTGTTGGAAAATTCTGGTATCTTTTTTTTTCCTATAACAAATAGAAATTAGTTTTATCAGAGTTTAAAATGCTGCAAGATTGAATTCAGGACACTGGTTTGAGAAGGAGGCTTTCTCTCTGGGTCTGCTGTGGGAGAAGGTCCTTGTCCTCGCTTCCTGGCGAGCTTCATGTGACACAGGATCTCCCTTCTCCCATCATCATCTTTTAATTCCATTCCTCCCCGAACTTTCTAAAGCCTTCTCACATAGATGCACACGCACACATATAACATACACAGCACTTAAGTATATCAGACATATTCATATATTTTATTAGCTCCGTTTCTCTAGAGAATCCCAATACATTACGCAATTGTTGATTAAAGTCTCTGTTTTATATATTCAATTCAATGTTTCCCCTTCTCTAACACAATGCTGTTACAGTGTTTCATTGCCATGCAGTTGATTCCTGATCCACGGTACCATGTACAATTGGGCTGAACCACTATAATCCATATATAGGGTTTTGTTGTTGTTGTTGTTGAGAAAGAGCCCCCATAGTGTAGTGGTTAAAGTACTCAGCTGCTAACTGTAGGGTCCGGGGTTTGAACCCACCATGGCTCCACAGACAAAGAATGACTGTCTGCTCTGCAGAGCTTTATCGCCTTGGAACCTGTGCAGCAGTTTTCCTCGGTCCTGCAGTCTCGAGAGTCAGGATGAACTCCTGGAGAGCAACAGTGTTGCTGACAATACACATAGCAAGGCATACACCAATTCCAAGTTTCTAAAAGTCCCACTCACTGATTCATTTTCAAATTGTATGATCAATCTCACCTTCCTTTATGAGTTGTTTGTCCCTCATTAACATATGCTCACTACCCCTAAGGTTCCTATTTATTCATTACCTGATACTGTAACAAACAATAGTACATGACTGCTATTGTTGCCAACGTGACCCCACATAGACAGTTCTTAGAAGGCCATAATGCTCACAGCAAACACTTTTACTGGTTCAGTTAAAATATCTTTTGGTTTTAAGATTTCAGAGGATATATTTATTTAAGGCTGAAAGATTATCTTAGAGAAATCGTTTCAGGGGTTCATCCAGCTTCTAGGAAGTCTGGAACCCATGAAAAGTGAAATTCTGTTCAGCATTTCCCTTCTTTTGATCAGAATTCTTCTACAGATTCCTTGATCAAAATGCTCAATAGTGACAGCCAGGCACCATCCAGTTCTTCTGGTCTCCTGGCAAAGGAGGCTGTTGTTCTCGGAGGCCATTAGCCTAACGCTCCTCTGGTCCTTTCTTTTGCTCCTCTATTTCTGATTCTCCTTCCTGTTCCTCCACTTGTATCTTGCAAGCTTTAAGACCCTAGGCTTTCTGCTATGAACTAGGAGGTAAAACAACACCAGAGTCACTATTAGGCCAATTAACTGGGATGTCTCAGGAAATCATAACCTTAAACCTCCAAACCAAGGCATCACATCCCCTTAGGTGTGTGTTGTACAGGATCCCTCCTTTGCCACCATCCAAAAGGAGAGCACTCCTATGAAACCTTTTATAACCTACAGTGGTGTGAAGCCATTCATTTATATGGAAAAAAGTTTTAGCCTCTTCAATGGCTCACTGCAAAACAAACACTGAATGCCTTTTCTCACCTCTGGAATTGTTTTAGTTATCAAAATCCTACAAAGCAGGAGAAGGGGGATCACAATGGTCGACGTTGGGGTAGGGGGGAGACAAATAACAAAAGTGGGTGAAGGGAGACAGCAGGTGATGTAAGATATGAAAATAATAATTTATCAAGGGTTCACCAGGGAGGGTGGGGGAAGGCAATGAAAAAATAAGGAGCTGATACCAAGAGCTCAAGTAAAAAGAAAATTTTTTCAGAAATGATGATGGCAACATATGTACAAAAGTGCATATGGATGGACGGATGGATTGTGCTAAGAGCTGTAAGAGCCACCAATATATTTTTTTAAATCCTACAATGAGGCACTATGTCAAGACATTAAAGAAGCAAGGGCAAACAGATGTTCCTCTGGGAAGGCGGACAACAGGCCATGTATTATTAAATCAACTTCAGAAACAAAGTCATACGGGGTCTTCATCTCCACTGAGAGTTTGGGTCAAACAAGTCGGCCCACTCTTAGCACCGTGACTCCGGGAGGACCCTCGGGTCTCTCTGTGCCTCAATTCCCTTTTTGATAACGTAAAGAGTAAGGAGCCCTCGTGAGCGCAGTTGGGATGCTAGCCACAAGGTCAGCAGTTCGAAACCACCACCATATAAACGAGACTTCCTATTCCTGTAATGATTTACAGTGTCGGTAGTGTAAAGGCATTCAAACACTGTCCGAGATGGTAATCCTCAAGGTTCCGGCTTTCGGCTAGTACTTCATAACATCTACAACGAGGCAAGAGGAGAATCCCCACGCTATGGACAAGCCTGCGGCCAGCAGCCGTACAGGACTGTCCCGGGGTGACCAGCACCCAGGAGGGTGAGGAGCCGTCCCAGCGGGCCCCTGCCCCCGCCCTTCCCCCCCTTGCCCCACTCACCATGGTGCGGGAGAGGGCGCCGCCCCAGGGCCGCGTGGCCCGGAACTCCGGAACTCCGCAGGCAGGAGCACAACCGGCCCTGATTGGAACTGAAGACCACGCCTCCGCAGAAAACGGCCTTTACATCGGAAGTATAAATGGAAGGACCGGAAGCGAGGGACAGGACCGGAAGCAGGAAAGGGAAACGCGGATTCAGTTGTGAGCCACCTTCCGGGAGTAGCTGAACGTCACCACGTCGCACGCCTCCGTGGGGGCGGGGCGTAGGCAAAACCGCACTTGCGTGGCGGCCCTGGCGTTTCTCCGGTTCAGTGCCAGGAGGTCTCCTACTCTCGCGATAACGAGAGGCCTTTCTGACACGAACTTCGACTGTGTCCGAGGCCGTGGTGTGGAGCTGTGTGAGCTTGCACTTCCCAGTCGGGCCCTGGTCCTCCTGCCTCTCTCCGCGGACGCGGAAGCCACCCCGGGCCTCGTGGAGACGCTCGTCAACGCGCCTGCGTGACCCAAGGCCCGGAGCTGCGTTTCCAGTTCGGAAGTGCTGAAGCGCCTGTTGGGGTGTCTTTGTTAAAGAGCTTATGTTCTCAGAAATTGGAGCTGGCGCGCCTGTAACCCCTCCCTTCCCCTGCCATTTACTAGGAGTTGGGCTTTTACGGACTGTTCCCTCCGTCTGACATGGCTTGTTTTTCTGAGCGGGGGCCAGTGCGACCCTATAGAACAGGTTAGAACTTCCCCTGTGGGTTTCCTAGACTAACACTTTACTGGAGTAGAAAGCCCTTTCTTTCTCCCACGGGGCAACTGGTGGTTTCGAACTGCTGACCTTGTAGTTAGCAGCCCAAAGAGTAACCACTACACCACCAAGTTCCTAACCCTTTTAGGGACTACATTTTTTCACCTCTCCGGTCGTGAAGTGTGGGTGACTAAATAATGAACAATGGGAACTGAATCAGATGTTGCATGTCATAAAAAAATTGTTGTTTAAAGGCCTAGCTTCCCCTTGGCCCTTTCCACCTCTGGGCTAAAGGATTGTGAGCCCAGAAACAGCCACCTTGAACTCAGAAATGTAAGCGTGTCAAAGTCCCTCTCGGACCTTGGCACACTTTGACAAATAAGAAATAAACTTACATTTCTTTAAGGCACTGCATTTGAGGGTCTTTTGTTGGGGTGGCGTGTTAAAGGGGGATAAAAGTATAATCTCTACTTACGTTTATATAATTTATAAGCAGAACTGTATATAGCTAGTTCCAAAAGGCAGGACTATGCTCAAATAGCTTCTTCAAGGATGCAGATGTCCCTTATACAAGGATTCAAAAGGTATTACCTATGTGGACTGTCCACCCCCTGTGCCCATATCCATTTCCCCTGCCCACTTATGTCCATTTGGGAACGCTCACATTCTGGGGACCTCCAATCTCCTGGAACAGGAGAGCTGGACTTCATCAGTCTATCCCATCTCCCTAGGCATGCTGATAAAACCACCCAGCAGTCTCAAGACTTGTTTGCAATGCGCCAATAGTCTCCTGCTGGATGTCAGTCACTTTAGGAATTCCTAGACATTGAGTTGCTCAATGACATTTGGCCTCAAGCTCACTCGGCTATTATACCTTCTGTTATTAACCCTGCTCGGCCAAGATCAAGTGTAGTAAACCTTCTGTTATATGAACCCAAATTAATTATCTTCAATTATCAAAAATTATTTGATAATAATTTTAATTATTATCAAAATTAATTACTTCTGAAGACAGTAAGAGGCAGACTTCCTCATACTTGCAACCAAGAACATCCCAATTACACCATTTCTCTTGCTACATTCTGCTAACTGGTCTTTCTTTCTCTGCTTCCACTCATCCTGCCTTTGTCCATGCTGTGCCTTTTGCTTGCAGCAGCATTCTACCTCTGTCCTTCCATTTGATTCATCTGCCAGGCCCGTGTTGGATTATACTCTCAGCGAGCCTGCAGACAGCCTGGATTCTGAACACTTTCTACTACTTACAAGCTGTGGCCCTCAATGACTGACAAAACTTGTTAACCTTTCCCTTTGCTGTGACATTGGTAAAATAGTATTTACCTTCCTGCTCTCTTATTTCCTTCTATTTGTGAACCTGGGATATTTACCTTACAAAACTGTCATTTGATAGGTGATACTGCTGGTAAAGTAGTTAGAAGAGGGCAATGTGAAGCTCTCAATTATGAGGCTTAACCTAAACCCCAATGCAGTCCACCAGGCCAGGGTCAAGGTCTTCAGAACATTGTAAACAATGACTAGCTTTCAAATCATTGGACTGAAGATTATATTGTTTGTTCCCATGGGGTCTATGTATCTGATGGCTATCCCGTGTGTGCAGAGAACTGCTTTGGGTGTTCACAACTGTTGACCATTTGGAAGTAGATTGCTCAGCCATTCGTCCAAGGCACCTTTAGTTGCCCTTCCCAGAAAGCCAAGCCATGACTGTGGCTTACAGAAAAATTTCTCCCAAGGTGTCTCCCCCAAATATATACCAAACCCAAGATGCTGCTTGCTACACATGGTAAATGACTGTACACTAGGTCAACGAAATAGGTCAGAGGTTCTTCTCGCTAAGGGTTATCAGCCATCTAGAGCAACCAGGCTGTATAGTCTGACCCACCTTAAGTAGGGCCCACTCCCTTCTGATAAGGATAGGTTCACTGAGGGAGAGCCTGAAAGCAAGATCAGATTGGGACCACTCAAGGATGACTAAGGTTAGGCTACTATATTGAGTCTAGGGTCCGCTCATCTTGCCACGTATGTACCCCTATTCCCTCCTTTACTATTGCGTGTACATCCCCCTAGGTCATCCCCCTCCTATTGCTTATATTGCCTATGTTACAACCCCTTCCTATGATGTAGGTCGTTATCTGTAATCAGGAGGCTTGCATGCCCCCAAAGATACATAGAAATAAATCTCAGTGCCCTCTCCTGCCCTCTGTCTCCCACCTCCACGTGTACTACCGAGAGGAGCTAAGGTGAGCATGCTACCATGAAATGTCTAACTTCAATTAAAGAGAAAAAAAAAGAAATGTCTAACTTCTTTATTTTACTCTCTCTCCTCTTCTCTGTGACTTTACTATGATCTTTGTATATCATAACTGTAGCGTTGCGCCTACCGAATCTGTGATACTTGTGAGGGGCTGACTGCCCCCCCACATGACTAAAGATACTGTCATCTAATCCCTACTCCTCTCTAGAAAGTTTATCATCAGGACTGAGATAGTTTATTGTGCCAGCCTGGCCGATAGACACATGTGGGATTAATTGAAGGGGGAGAGATAAATGGCTCTGCGAGCCTCGCCCTTCTTGTCTCTCGCTCTTCTCTGATCATCGGACCAGTGTGCTGCTGCCTTGCTTGTTCTGTGCCTCAATTTACAAACTACACTACCTGTGGGACACCTAACTTGTGGACTGTGTCGCTGTAATTTGAGGTGCCTTTAAGACTTGCCTCACCACACAATTGGAATTTACATCTCTTGAGCTGGGGACTGACTTTGGTGACCTGGCTGACTGTTGGTGACCTGCCTTGCTGTTTGCTGCCTGTGCCAGGATAGCCTGACTCTCTCTACAGAGGACTACCTGGAGGCCCTCAAGACTAGAAGGACTGCCAGTGTCTCACAACTGTCTCATGGGAGTGAGTTGCAGTGAGCCATTTGTACTGCTTTATAATTTAACTGTTCGTTTCTTGGTTTATATGTCTATATATCTTTATATATATATATATATATAGAGAGAGAGAAAATTATTAGCAATCTGGTTTTGTCTCTCTAGAGAACCCTGTCTAACACAAGGACACAACACTAATCAGTGTTGCCAAACCTCTAGCCAATAGGAACCAGACAGACTTGGGTACTTCCAAAGTAGAATGCCACTGTGACAAATACCTAAAGGTGTGCAAGTGGCTTTGGAATCAGACTCTGGGCAGGGACTAGAGGACTGCTGATGACAGAAAAATCTTAGAGTGCCTTGAATAGGCTGTGAGTGGAAATTTCACGTGAACACAGTTCAGTTAACGAGGGCACAAAAGGGAAGAACACAGTAGGAAAAACTGTCAACAGGCTGGGATTTCCCAAATCATCAAGTCCTTGTTTCTTCGGCTTCACGGTTCTCCTTACATTTTAGTACAAGCAACAAAAGTGGCAAGCATACAGAAATCTCAGGAAAAGGCCCACATTTACAAGGTCTGTTTTCTGTATAACTAGAGGACGCAACTCAGCTCATTCCCCCCACTCTCTAGGATCCCTTTTACTTCAGTTTCCAATGACGTGTTTTTCAGTTTCTCCTGAGCCTTTGCCAGCAGTATCTTTAGGGTTCATATGCCTACAACAGTCCATCAACAGATGAATTGTTAAGCAAAGTGTGGTTTATACATGTAGTAAAATATCATGAAATGTTCTGATATCAAGCTTTGATATGGATGAATCTTAAGAACATTATGCTAAGCTAATTAAGTCCAAATGCAAAAGAGTGTTTTATGAGCCCACTTCCAGGAAATACCTAATACAGGCAAAAAGGTAGACACAAAAGTTTGCTCATTGTTATTGGAAGATTGGCCCTATCACCAACCCTCACTGCTTGTGTAGTGTCCAGTCACTTAAGAGTTTAATAAGTACAAGTCAACAGTTCATGTAGTATTTCAGTTCATAGCTGGCCTCATAAAGTTTCCCCTTCTCAAGACTGTTTTAAACCCCATTGGCTGAATGAATGACACTATCAATGTGTAGTGGTTACACATTGGGCTGCTAACAAATTCAGCAATTTAAGACCAGCAGCCAACTCTGAGGGGGAAGGAGTGATTCCTTGGGGTGAGTGGGGGGAGGGGGGTGTTGACAGGGAAGGTTTGGGGGAAATGGGGACCTAATAATGCTGAGTACAAGAAAGAAAATGTTCTAAAACTGATTGTAGTTATGACTGTACATCTCTTCTTGTGATTGAACTATGGAATTGGATGTGAATTATATGCCAATAAAAAATGTTTTATGACAGGGAAGGAGGAATGGTTATTTCTTGTGGTAGTTACATAATTTTATGACCACTAAATAAATAAGAGGTGGAGCC